CGCCGGGCCGCCCCGCCCCGCCCCGGGATGGGAGGGGGTTGCGGGGTTCAGCGCAGCCGGGCTCCTCCATGAGCTAGGAAAGGGGAAGTGCCTGCCGCAGGGAGGGGCCTGGCCCCGGGAACCTCAGAAGAGGGAATTTTATTCTTACTCATCGAATTATTTTTATGCTTTGGTTTTTCACTGGGAACCTCAGGCCACTGTCTCCAGGACTTGTAACCCTTTGGGGTCCAATACATGGCGGCTAACCAAGCACCTCCAAGCCTCCCTTCGCCTGGAGGGAGTTAGGCCTGGCCTCTTCCCTTAGTCTAATGGGGCATGTAATGACAATTCTTCCCATAATGACTATATTCAGGATAGCAGTTTGGCGAACGTCTCCTATGTGTCTCTCCCTTTGCATTATCACTGAGTCCTCCAGATGGGGGGCTCGCCTGGGGCCGCACATCCTACACCGATGGCAGAGCTGGATGTCTCCGCACCTCCCGTTCGATCTCCCTTCAAAGTGTGAATTGCCTGGTGTTTCCACTCTGCATCAGGCATCGTAGAAAATCCTGGAAGGGGCCCGTGAGCACTCACCTACCTGGTCACAGGTTGGGACAGAGTGTGGGGTCCTTTTAAGTCTCTGAACCCCACTCTTCTCCCATGGCAGCTCTCCCGAGCTGTTCCTTGTCTGGGGTCTTTTTCTTGTCGGATTGCTGAGAGCACACTCAGTTCTCATACTCTGCATCTGGTCCCTGTCCTGCTCCTAATGTCTACCCTTCTCAGACCCCTAGCTCCTTCCAGGTGGGCCAGCTTGTCCGCCGAACACCTCCTGTCTACTTCAGCCACAGAGCTGCCGGGGTGTGCTCCTGGGCCCTCTGGGATCTAACTGGAAGCTTAGTTCCATTATTTGCAAAAAGGAGAGGATGCTTAGGCATGCTGCTGGGACCTCCAAGATGTCCTCTCCCTCTATGCAAATCATGCTATCACATGCAAAGCACTTCACAATATGCAAATGATTTCACAATAACACTGTCAGCATTCCTCCTTCTGGGGAGCCAAGGGTTCCTGGTGACCCAGCAAAGGGATTGGCAAGACCCCACTTACTCTTTTACTCACTGCTTTTCCCTCCTACCTAGTCTGGAAATTCAAAAGGATTAAAGAAACAAGGGTGTCGGGGTTAGTGAGGGAACATGAGCAGGGAAAGCCAGGAAAAACATACAGTGGATGGACTCAAATGTGGCTGTTTGAAACACTGACTTAGATGTGGAAGATCGAATCGATCTCACGAGAGAGAGGGCATAGGAAGTGGAGGGGGCAGTGGATAAAGGGAGGTTCTTAAACTGTAGTTGGATGGGAAGAAGAATAAGCTCTGATAGTCTACGTCACAATAGGGTGAAGTCAATTTTTTGCACATTTGTATATGTATATACATACATATATACTTATATAGGTATAAATATCTGAGTCAGGGTCTTGCTATGTAGCTCAGGCTAGCTTTGAAATAGAAAGCCTCCTGCTTCATCTTCCCAAGTAGCTGTGATTACAGGCACCCACTCCCATACCCAGCTTATATATTTTATGAAGAATTAGAAGAGAGCCAGGCTCTGGTGACACCTATAATCCTAACACTCAGGCTGAGATCCAAATGATCACGATTCAAAGTCAGTTGGAGCAGAAAAATCCATCTCCAAAAGATACCTAGCAAAAACAGAAAAGTAAGGCTGGAAGCATAATTCAAGAGGTAGAGGAAGTGGTGCTGTGGCTCAAGTGGTAGAGCGCTCGCCTTTGAGCTGAAGAGCTCAGGGACAGAGCCCAGGCCCAGAGTTCAAGCCCCACGACCGAAAAAGAAAAAAAACAAAACAATAAAACAAAAATTTCAAGGGGGTGCTGGGAAGGTGGCTCAGTGGTAGAGTGCTAGTCTTGCACGCATGAGGCCCTGGGTTATTCCTTAGCACCACATAAGCAGGAAAGGCCAGAAGTGGCTCTATGGCTCAAGTGGTAGAGCACTAGCTTTGAGCTGAAGACCAGAGGGACAGTGCCCAGGCCCAGAGTTCAGGCCCCACGACCGATAAAGAAAAAAGAAGAACACCATCCAAGCAAGCAAAATGATTGAGCCCTAGACCCTTAGTTCAAATCTGTAGTACTGCCAAAAACAAAAAGATGCTAAAGTTTCCTTCTACAACTAATATATGCCAATTTTAAAAAATATTAAAGGTATGACAAGTAAGCCTTTCATATGTAGATGATTATAAATAGTGCTATACATAAGTCTATATGTAATAAATAAAAATTAGAAAACATCACACATTAGGATAACATGAATACCATAGTGAAAGGACTCACATGGATGGGGAAATGTAAAAGGAGAGCCGAGTTTAAACTTTTATGCAATTATGTAAGATCTATACATATATGTATGTTTGTGTATATATAGAGAGAGATATAAAAATCTCACTATATATAATGTCTTTATAAACTCTATCTACCTTTCTGCCTTTCTGTCTGTGTGTCTACCTGCTTGTCCTGTTTGTTTCTCTGACCAGCCTTGGAGGCTGAGGTAGTCAAATTGTATAGTGCCTGAAACCTTCTCCTCCCCCTACCCCCCAACTGCCCCCGATCTAATAGCTTTTCCATATACTGTCTTGAGTCTTTTCAGATAATCCTATCACTCCTTAATAACAAAAGAACAATAAGGTAGGAACCGACATTGCTATTTACAAAGATGAGAATTGACTTGGCCTTGAACTTCACCAGATCAGTATTTGCTGGAACTCAGGGCCTGGGTGCTGTCTCTGAGCTCTTTTTGCCCAAGACTAGTGCTCTATCGCTTTGAGCCACAGCACCACTTCCCGTTTTCTGGTGGTTGATTGGAGATAAGAGTCTCATGGATTTTCCTGCCCAGGTTGGCTTTAAACCTCAACCCTCACATCTCAGCCTCCAGAGTAGGATTACAGGTGTGAGCCTTGCCCTGGGACTGGCTTCTTCCATTCCACATTGTGGTACTGAGTCATTCACGATATTTCGGGCCACTAGCTGCTCTGCTGAGTGCCCTGCCAAAGACGCAAATGAATCTACTGTAATTTACTCATTTTCTTGCCAGTGGGTACTTTTTTATTTCCAGAGATCTGCTGTAGGAACATTCTAGTCTGTGTCTGTTTTTATGAAAGTGGTGTGTGTGTGGGGATGCCTGGGTTCCAGCCTCTGCTTTGTAAGACAGGATTGTTCCCCCCCCCCCCCCGTGGTTAGGTGCAGTTGTGCTCTGACTAGCACCCCCGCCCCAC